TACTACAAGTGCAGGGGAAACTTCATTTAATGTGGAAAGATTCTCATTTTTCCAGAGCTATAATGCAGCGTGCAGTTAAAATTAGGCTGTCTCGTTAATCGTCAAAGTATATGGTGAGAATTACTGCAGCCAGCTTCAGTGCAGGATTAGACATGCCTCTGCAGGAGAGACCTTGCAGAAAGGCCCAAGGTGGGAGAGCAGCTCCATCAGGGCCCCTTTGATGAAATCTCACCCTGGGGAGAGGGGTGCCTGTGGGTAGGGGAAAGCGTGTGGGATGGCTCTCCCCCTTCCTCTCCCTATCTGCTCACGCTTGGCGGGAACCCCCAGAGCACTGTCCGTGGAGCGCTCCTGTGCGAAGTGTGTCCTGCGTCAGACGGCTGCAGAATAAGCTCCCCTTGTGAAGGGTGATGAGTATCTATTCCCACTCCCATTTCTCCAATTCCTGAGTTTAGCTGTACTGGGCCAGGGTAAAGGATGAGCAGAAATCACCCCAGCCTCTAAGCCTCGAGACAGTATGGTTATTCGGGAACTAGGATCCCATAAGCCTTCTTGTACCTACGGGATGTAGTTTAGAAGGAGAAAAATCAGTTTAAATGAACACAGCAAAGTTGAAATGCTCTTGAATGTACAAAAGAAAGCTGGAAGAAATCCCTGGGGAATACCTTTTTCTCATCTCTTCCCCACTATCCTTTTTCCTGTCTCCTTCTCGGTGTCGGAAACTTGTCCTTCAAAAATCATCCACTGAGGAAAGCAGATCCTTCTGCAGGATGTGAAGGGAGAACAGGAGGGAAGGGTGAGTGAGAATTTTGCCATAAGCCTTTCCTCTTCCAGATCAGAGCTGTATAGCATATGCCAGGATGGCAAGTCAAACTGTTAAGGACTTTCCATAGGACCCCAACCAGCTTTTATTTAAAAACAGTAAAAATGTTTATTTGAAAGGACTACAAAAGCTTTCCTGAGGGTTCATTAATGAAGCTTAACTGTCCGATTTGAACGGACAGATTCTGAGCACTAGCACAGAATCTCAGCTGAAAGCTCCTGGTTCCCAAGCACTGACTAGCCTAACGACTGTGAATTAACACAAACACAACCTTATCCTGCTGGGGAGGAGGAGAAGGAAGGGGGCAAAGATGTTAGACATCTGCAGGCCAAACTCCTCAGGAAGTCAGTGGGAGCTTCACTAGTGTAAGAACAGCGTGACCGGACATAAATATAAAGGAGAAAGGATGCTAAGAAAATATTTTCACGCATTTGTGTACTGAGGGGCCTATGAAGTCTAATGAGTGCAGAAGGCAGGAACTCTATTACAACATAACTCTTGGATATGCTGCTTTAGTGTATCTGTGTAGCTTTCTGTGTGACTCTATTTCCCCCTCTGCATCTACTTATGAAACATAAATTTACAAAGTTGCCTGACGATGCAAAAAAGAAAGTTCTAATAGGCTTTAAAGAAACGTCTCACCAATTTAGGTGCACAATATCCATTGACATGAAGTGATATTTAGCTGCCTGATCAGATGCTTTTGAAAATCCACCTGGATGCCTGTCTATCTACATATGCACCCAGTATCTCTGTAAATCTGATCTTTTCCATCACCTTATCTGTTACTCTGTTCAGACCTCCAGGTACTAGACTTTGCCTCTGTTATCCAAATGTGGATTCTTTAAGTTACGGAGAAGTATGGCACCCATTTATCTTATTAAGGTAGGCATCTAAGGCAGTCTGTGATTTGAAACAAGCTACCTTTTCTGATTATAGATTTAGAAGACGATGCAATTTTTTAAAGTGTTTCGTCTTTTTAGAAAGAACTACCTTATTTAAGAAATTAGCGTTTAGAAAACTAGAATTAAACTCAGCCACTATTGTTTTAACAAGAAACTGTTGACTGTGTTGCACCTAAAGACAAATGATTAGTGACTGGGAGTTTATGCTTTATCAAAGTAAGTTTAGAAATAGACAAAATTTGCAGAGTTAGCTGATTTTGCCTGACATACACAAATGCTCTTCCAGTCTTCCCTGGCCGTCTGCAATGAGGTCAGATGTAATTTAGTATGAGTTAGGTGCTGGTGAAGCAAAACAGTCAAATGTACTTGTATTTGTAAGCAGTGTCCATCAAGATGCTCCAAGAATGGCTAGATTTGGGTAAATGCTAAGCTTTCTGTAGACAGTTCCTAAACGTTCACTGAATTAGTGTACCAGCTATAGACCAGAGAAATCTTGCTTTATTCAGATATGCAGGTTTTAATTTAATCTTAATATTCATATACTGTGTTCCTTTTACTTGCCCAAGTGTAACCGTATAATGGTTATGTAAACCAATGCTTATGTTGTTTTGACATACATTTTGGTGCCATATGTAAACACCAAACATGTATATAATAACCACCATTAGTAGAAGTCTCAGATCCAATTAGGATGACAAAGTTTTGTGATGTATTTTTTTGACAAAATGGCAATGTGAATTTAAATTTTTGCATGACTGAAATCTGTAACTGAAAGTAGCATACACAATTAAAAGTGAGGTAACAGTGGATTTGTTGCCTGACTACTTTACTAATGATTGCTTTAATATACTATTCACTTGTTAATGATGCTATCAGTTATTTTACTGTAAATTAGCTATTGTGAGTTTGAGGTCTTTTTGCAATGTCTGTGTTAGGCTACAGGAGCATAAATCAAACTCCCATCTCTTTTTACATCCATAACCATAACATATGGCTTTTATTAGAAAATGTTAAGTGTCTTATAATGTCTTCTTAATGGACAGTGTGTGCATGTGTTGATGATGAAAGCCATCTTCCTTTGTGCAAAATATTAATGCATATCGCCTATGTCTCCATAGATACAAGTTAAAGAATCATATTTAACCCATGAAATATTCAGTATACACTTCAACTTTGCCCAGAATTCATATTTCTCTAGTTTAACAATCCTTTAAGGAAAGAACAAGTTAGAGGTAAATCAGGGGTTGAATTCTACCAGGTATGCACATGTAATTGTGAATAAATGGTATAACATCCACTGAAAAAAAAAACCAAAACCAACCCCAAACCCAAATCACTTTATGAAATGCCTATTCCTAAATGAAAATACCCATAGAGAATTAGAAAATTGAATTTATATCCTCCTAGAATTCCAGCTTGTACATCACAAAGACTCTTAATATTGGTTATAGATACTGTCCTCCGACTTAAAAATATCATAATGCTTTCAAGCAAAAGGGTGTTTTAGCCTCTGTTTGTATCCTTTTCACTGGGACAGCATTACCCATTTGGCTTTTGGACCATTCCATAAAATCTTGGACAAGCACACTGCTTTGACTGGAAATGTGTCTTACCAACAGATTCTTGGGCACCAGAGAGATCTGCTATTCAAATCAACGCCTGCTAACGTTGGGCTTGATTAAAGGAAGCTAACTAAGCCTTTTGAAGGATACCCTCCAGCCTTCCCTCTCCATTTTCATGTTCCCTTGGCAGAAATCAGGGATTTGAAAGCTGCAATTCAACAGCGTCATCCTTTCATCTTGTGGTAAATATTTTATTATTCCTTTATCCTCCATGCTGTTTAAAGGAATTCATTTAAAATATTAACTTCTTTGTTCAGGGAGGAAATCTCCGAAGAGTATGCAAACAAGAATCTTTAGAAATGCACCGAGATATAACTCCAGGCTCTGCTCCAGCTTTCCCCATTCATTCAGTCTGCAGACCTGGCAGCTCCCTGCTAGAGATCTCTGCTCAGACCAAAAGTCTCCAGCAGCTGCTCTTCCACCACCCATTCATAGACAATCAGCTCCCCTGTCCCTGCTCCCTGCATTTCCACTTCTCTTTCCTCCATCCATCCAATTTTCTCTCTAATCTGATCTCACTTCTTTGATCCTTCTCAAGAACACTAATCATCCTCGCACACCAAAGCACCACTTGTCCCTACTGAGGGCTGGCGGCAATTATGCTGCAACAAAGGTACATTTAAGAGAGGAGTAAAACCTATCCAAACCAATTTCTTTGTGAAGGCACTATCCTTCATCTATTTTCCTGCTTATCAATATGGGTATCTTGGGGGTTAATCCTGCTGCTGTTCCTAAAGTAGATGTTTTCTTTACTTTTGACTTCAGGAGCAGAATAAAAGTCCTAATTAGTGTAATTATCCTCCTATGTAATAGTATGAAAGGTACCTACTTAGAGGAGTCAGATGGCTGTTTAAGACCATCTTTATCCACAGCTATGCTGTGAACTGCACCAGTGTGCATTCCCTTTCCAAAACAACTGCAGGCACCAGGAGGGGAGGAGTTGTCCTTCAGTAGCCAGGCAAGAAACCTGTCAAACACAGTGTCCCTTCTACATGAATGAACTCTCTCCTCTGATTAATACTTTGCATTTCCCACAAGGGAAAAGGCAGAGTGAGGAGGTAAGTGAGCAACTGAATTCCCCGTTCTCAGAGAAGCATGATCATAAATATTTAACATGGCATGTATGAGAAAAGAGAAAGGAACAGACTCCCTTTCCAGTCCAGGATGAGAAACTCTCCAAATTCCCTGGTCCCAGAGGGACTGCCTGCTCCCATGATCCTTTCTCCATCTTGTAAAGGGGAGAGAGACGTTAGCTCATAAGAAGGCTGGACAAGGTGTCTCTCTTTATTGGGGGACGACTGACTGTAAAAATCTGGGCATGGAGGGAAATTACTTGGTATAATGGAGATATCCCTGGCCTCTGAATGGGACCCTGTCCCAGGCTGTGGGGTTTTAGGAGCCTGTTAGAAAATAAGGGTCTCTGGAAGCCCATATATGAGTACGCGAGCTCATGCCTTGGTGTCTACTCGTGCCCCATGCATGGGGCCTGCTTGAGAGCATGGCTTATGTCCCCATAGCCCATATGTGATTTTTGTATGGCCACACAGATGGATGGCTGCTCTGACAGTGGAGATAAGCCTGATGATGCTGGGAGGAAGTGGGACTGAAGGGAGATTCGAGTGTTTTGATGAGGGTGCTGATTGCATAGCTTACCCTTGCATATCTGGATGAGTAGGGATCCTCAAAGAGCGCCCAGATGCGGGGCTGCCACCGTCTCCAGAAGCCCCCAGACCTGCCATCTGGGGAGTCACTAAGTGCTAGGCGTTTTGTCATCTCCAGCTCCTCTTCACCATCACCAGAGTCTCCGGTGCCATCTATGTCTCCGTCCTCGGCACTGCTATCCAGGGGTGCCCCACCAAAGCTGTCCAGAGCCTCTTCGGCGTCGCGGTGCTGCCGGTAGGTCATCCAACAGCAGGGCTCCACATCGGTCTCATCGATGCCCCAGAAGGCCAGCTCCTCCTCATACAGGGGTCCACACACGTCTGCGGGGCAGTGCAGCTTGCCAGTGCGGTAGTAATTCAGGATGTGGGCAAAGACGCCCGGGTGCCGGTCAAAGAAAAACTCATCCGTGCGGGGGTCATAGTCGAAGTGGCTGTGGGCATCGGGTTCAGCGATCCAGGCCAGCCGAGTGCCGGGCAGGGTGCGTAGGGTGCTGCGGTAAGTCTGGTGCCTAGTCCCTCCCACGTTGATCACAATGCGGTCGCTCTCGTCGCCCTGGCCCATCTCGTCTCTTATTAGGCATGTCGCAGACTCATCCAAGCAAGCACGGCAGGCAGCAAGCCCGTAAGGGGACAGCGGCTCGGCGGCAGTCGGTGCCTAACCTGAACCCCGATCCAGGCCCGCGGGGATGAAGGGCCCCGGCCAGCTCTGCTCCCTGGGGGCCTCTCTCAGGGGAAGCCGGTGCCGGTGGCTCCCGGGGCCGCCACGCTGTCGTCTGAAGCCAGACACTCGGGGGCCCTGGTAGCTGCAGCCGTGGCGGAGGGGCAGGGGGGGCCATGCTCCGGGAGCGCGGGAGCTGCGGTGCCGGGGCGCAGGGACGTGCCGGTGGGGGAGGGCCCTTCCCTGGTT